ATTAAAAGTGATATCAAAGAAATAAAAGTGATATCAACTCAAGTAGTTTACGTCCTTTAAAGTGATAAGTAAGATGTTATTTACTATGTGGTCTACACTCAGAAGCTTTTGAGCTATGTGTGTGGTTTGCAACCATATGGCTACATCAGGGGAGCCTTGACACTTACACACAAGAGATGCTACCTCACTTCCCTCCTCCCTTGCTCCAGACCTACCTCTCCCTTTTTTCACTGTTCTTTCTAGATCCCCTCCCAACACTCAGAACCTTCCTTTGTTTTGCTAGTGTATTAATTGTCTTCACCCTGGAGACCTCCTCCCTCTGCTGCCCATTTGGCTGCACCCAGCTCATACATGTTTCCCTTCTAGGACCTACCAGGCACTTCAGTGTCACACAGCCTGGTGGGGAAACAGCAATTGCAATTGCCCTTCCCAAGGCTGGCCCACATCAGCTTTTCACCTTTGAAATAAAATACAGAAATGGCACAGTGGGGTACAGGGTCCAGCCTGGATGGAGTTAACTTGCTCCACAGCAGCCCATATGGTGCTGTGCTTTGCATTTGTGGCTACAACAGTGTTGATAACACACCACTGTTGTGGCTCCTTCTGAACAGTGTTTGCACAGTACCAAAGCTTTCTCTCCAGGACAGGAAGGGCTTTAGGTCAGACGGCAGCTGTCATGCCATGTCTCTGCCCTGCCTGCCTCAAGGTCCATCTCCACCTGCCTCAGCTCCCCCACAGCTCTGCTCCCCTCCCTTGTCTGTGCCGTGTGGAGTCTCCTGCCCCAACCAAACTTCATCCTTTGGACCTTGCTATGAGGCAGATGGACCCAGCAGAAGTGGTTATCCATGTGCCAGTCTTCCTCTGCCCACCCTCTATCTGTAGATTAAAGCAGATAATCATGTGAGAGTATTGAGTCCTCACTACTAACTGCATACATGTGCCAAGTTTTACCACTTATGTAAAAGTTTGGATCTTTTGTCTCTATCATTTTCAAGAAAATAAACCTCTGTAGTTTAGCTGAAGAAAGGTAACTACCTGATAAAGTTTCTTACAGGCTCAAGTGTGATTAATTTACAGCTTATTGAATTACCATCAGCTGAGTTGCAGTAAGGCTTGCTCTTAACCTAGAACGAATGCAAAGCAACAAGGCTCAGCTTAGACCAAAAAGGTCTCAGAAAGGTCTTGGTACTTAGCATTTGCCACAAACTAAAGATGTATACTGAGAGCAACCACAGCTCAGATGACTAAGTGTAATTGCTTAATGACAGTACATTGACCAGGGCTCTAAGTAGTCAGTCTTTCTGATTATCATGAGATCACAGGATAATTCAGTTTGGAAGGAAATTCAATAGGTCAGACCAGATTGCCCAGGGCTGGACAGAAGAGCAAAACCAATCAAGCAAAGAGATACAAACTTTCAAATCCTTTACTGTATTTCCACAGTTTTGCACAGTAGCCTACCACACAGCCGTGTAACATTCACAAATTTCTTCAGTAACAAAACGTAAAATAACAGGGTACAAAAATAAGCACTTTAGCTGCTTTCATTCTGCTTACCAGGTAAGCGAGAGCAGGAGTTGTAACCCTCACTGGCTTCTACACCAGACTATTGCTTCCACAGAGAAGCACCATGAAGTGCTGAGGCCTGACACCTGCTGCCAGACTGCAGCCAGCGCCCCCGGGCTCCGAGCGAGTTCACCGAGAGCCAGCGCAGGTGCCGCAGTTCCTGCCGTTTGTGGCACACAGCAGGACCAGACCTAACAGCACATCCTCCCTTCCTCTTCCCCTTTTCCCCATGATGCAGGCTGGCTGTATAGAGACAGATGCAATCCCTGTTTAGAGGACACTTTCAGATTTTATCTTACTAGTATTCCAAACCAAACAGCAACTGAGGATTTTCTGAGCACTGCAGGATCAATTCATAACTCATCGTGCAGCACCAGACAGGATTCATCACGCAGTATACTTTTCCTCCCCGTGTTTTTTTGCTTTGTGGTAGTGGTTGTAATCATTATACAGATCCTTAAAGACCTCCCTTACACCTGCTGGTAGAGACATATTTAAGAACTTTATGTCCCGTTCAATGCAAAGGTCAAGGATGTGATATATCCCTTCTGTGAGATGTTTCTTCACAGCCGGGTGCAGTGTCACCTATGGGAAGAACAAAAGTACATTAAACTTGAAGACAAAAAGCCAAGAAAACACCCTTTCAACAGTCAATATACATTAAAAGCTGACAATATGTTATCCAGTGCATCAGACCATCTGGAACAGCCCATTAGATAAAATCCAAGATTTTGATTTGTGCAGTACTTTCCTGATTTTTGCAAACGTGTTCTGCAGAACAAGTGTGCCACCTGAAATAAAATGCACGAGAGTACTGCTATACACACTGCTGCAGAGGCAAAGACATTGATCATCTTGGAATCATATGAAAACTCCTCAACAGAAAAACTGTAATTAAAAAACTCTAAAATACTTGCCCTGGATTACACATTCCAGTAGATTCTGTGTGTGCCATACCAGCTGTTATGCTACTGAGTCTCAGTTTCAAATGAGCACTTCCTTAAGGCTACTCTATCATTTACAGTGGGTAGTCAATCAATTTTAACTTGTCACTTAACAACTTGGTATTTATCTAACAATTTGCACCTGAGGACTTCAACAGGTAAGCCTTAATAAAAGAAGGCTTCAAAAAACTCAAGAGATGTGCATTTCCTTGATTTTGTTTTTAACCTCAGCAATCAGGTACCTTGTCTGAAGTCACATAGAAAGTTGAAGGAATACAATGAATGACTCAGGACCCCATGCCCTGCTCCTGCCATTGTAACCCCTGCTCAACCCCACTACCAGCAGAACCAACATTACAACCAGGAACATCAGTGCTGACTCTGGAGTCCTCTGGTGCCCCAGGCTAACTGAAATTTGTCCTGTGCTCACAAATCACTTGCTAAATACTTCAGTGCCTGAGGTGGTGCTGGCCTCTGCCATAATCACATTGGTTCTGCCTTATCTTTGCTGAATCCCAAAATTAGCTTTATGCCTCCAGACCTAAGCCTCTGCTCTTCAGGCCTAATGAAAATTACATAAAAAGCTGTCATTAAAATTCAGACTTCTTTCTTCCTGAGGCAACTAATAAACTTTCCACTAATGAAGTGCACTCCTAATCACTGTGACAGGCTCCTGCTCTCTTTCTGCCCTAAATGTAAAACAGCTAATATATTTTATTAGCTGTTTATATTTTATTATTGTGACCTGCTAACATAGCTGGGAAAAAACATACAGCAGGCACTAAGGCATATAAGTCTTTCTTTGGATCTGTGACCCTGAAGAGTTTGCATGTCCAGAAGTTTGTCATTTTTTCCCCTCTATGTCAGTTGAGCAGTTTTATAACATGTTATTTCTCCCTGCACCATGCACTAAAGTACTAGTTGAGTATCACAACTCCCAGTGAATGCACTGGGCTGGCCTCTCCCTTCCTAGGGCCAAGAAACGACTGCAGAGAATGAGGAGAGGAAAACCCACAGCTATTGACAAGATGGACCAGATGTCCCACTTGGGGTAAGTAGACACTTCAGAGCTGCAGTTAATGGAACTGCAACCCTCACATCACAGATTGATCTGGAGCCATGCCTTATTTGAGCCGTTCCAGCTTCACAGCGCAGTTTCCTCTAAACACCTTCCAATAACGCTATGGGAAGCAGAACCAAAAACTTCAACAGCTGCCACGACTGCCTGGCAGTTAATTATGCTTGTAAGTGTTTTATGGTCTATATAGTTAGCACAACCAATTTGTCAAGCATTCCAGAGCTCTCGATGTGAGACATTAAATGTGTGAAGAGGTATTTCACTATTGCTGAATTAAGCAACAGCTCATCGACAACAAGGGAAAAGCACTGTCAAAACTATGAAAGAGGCTATAGATGCCACCACTCCAGCAAGGAATTTTTCTGGATTAACACAAAATAATTTACAAGGATATTTTATTTCCTGGTATGAAGAGGAAGTACTGAGGGAACCATTACACAGCTACTTTATGAGTAAGCGCCTGTTCAGGCCAGTAGCTGTCATCAGTTTTAGTTTTCAGACCCTTAAAAGGGTTCCAGTAAGTGTGCAGATGCCCATATAAAGACTTCAATCTACCAACATGGTTTTCTCAGTTACCTTTGACAGAACCCCAGGGTCTTCAGATCACAGGCTGAAAGCCACTGATCTGGACTCAGAAGAGATGAATGGTTAAAGGAGTTTTTCTCTCCCTCTGCAGAGCAAGATGAAAAGATGTGTATGTGCCCCCTTAAGACAGGCATGCTGAGGCCTCCCACTCCTCTGATACACATCAGTTCTCACCAATCTAATGAGCAAATAAATCATCACCTACTTGTGATCTATCTATTCTGTCAGACAGAAAACAGCCCTTTGTCACAGTGTCTGGTGGCTCACTACACCAATTCCTCTTTCCACGCCCAAAGGTTCCATGCATACATTACTGATCTGTGGTTTCAGCTATCATCCATCACTTTCCATTTTCCAGTTAAAGTATTGCACAAAACTTTCCTAGAAGTCTCATGAGACTTTGTACTCCTGCTTATACTGAGGTAAGTGTCCTTTCAACTTGAAAAGGTCATTTGACAATTCAAGTCAGGCTTTCTGACCAACATTCAGCAATGAGCAGATTTCAGAGTTCAGAGACAGTTAAACAGAGCAGAAGTAGTCTTAACAGTAATTTGTCCCTAGTATTTGCTGAACTACTATGTTTACTATATAAACAACATCCAACTTACTGGCAATGCTACCTAACATGGCTAAAACCTGACATATCCCATTGTTCTGCTCCCAAACCTTGGAAAAAAGCCAGTCAACAGAGAAGGCAGCTGAGTTTAAGCTCTGTAATAACCTTCATGCTTAGTCAGACTTGTTACAGCATAATCCTTCAGAAACACAGCACCAGTTAGGATATTTTTGTAGTAAGAGAGCCTAAAATGAAGACTGAAATTCCTTTCTGTATTTCAGCCCATGCCCAGGCCAGAGCCACAAATAATCAATATGCAGGTACCTGCAACACAAGCAGCATTCAAACCCTGGTGCAATCTAAATACATTAGGCTGAATAGAATGACAATTTGAACTTAGGTCTGGATGTGAGAAGCCACTGACCTGGCTCTGGCATCCATAACAACGGGAGCAGTTGTTTTCAGTAAGGATCAGGATGGTATCTTTGTTACAGAAGGAGAATTACTGAAAAGCGAAACAATTCTCTGGCTTGATAACACTTTTTCCATTCACTTACTCACTTAGACCAAATTAAAAGATATTTTCCAGGCGAATTTTTCTCTATTACTTTGACAGATGGGGCCCTAACTGCTATCAGTCCTGGGCAACTGAGACTATCTGGGAGAAGAATCTAAATACTACATGAAGAAAAAGCAACATCCAACATGACAGAAAAGCAAAGCAGTTCTGTAAATAGGCACTTTATTGTTTTGCCTTAAAAAAAAACCACAGCACACACCTTCAGAAAGTTTTCAAGAGCTGAGTAAGAAAGATTCTCAGGAACTCTTGCTCAAAAATAACAGGGAGTCTGGATGAAACCTGTAGTCCTATGAGGCACAGCAACTTTTATAACTCCACAGATTTTACAAAACTTAACCCAATTGCCTTTGGAACAGAAACTCCAAAGCCAGCACAACACCATGGTGCTTTCCAAATGGAAGAGAACATGTTACCTTCTGCAATTCAGTCACATACTGAGCCGCAATGAAAGCAGAAAACACAGTGAAGTCCTCCATTTCTGCAGCGATATGAGTATACATCCGTTCCACCAAGTGTGCACACTTCAGTATAACTTCAAACTCATCTGTGTTGCCTGAAACAGAAAGTGGGTTACACCCTGGCATTTAAGGCTTAAAAATACTAGGAAAAAAAAAAAACAAAATAAAGAATCACCTAATCTTCCATGATTCTTGAACAAGATGAAGCCAACACCAACTTGCCCATTTTATCTTATTTTCTTATCAAGCCACAGCTGAGAGCCCCCCCCACACCCCTACAAAGCACCATACGCATCTCTTACAATGGTTATTTTGTAAGAGCACATTGCTTCCAACCTCACATGCACTGCAAGGCAAAAAGTGCTTGTTACAGATGCTGAAGTGCTAAAAGCAGCAGCTATGGTTCCATCCATGATTTAGTCACAACTAACACTATGGAGGAGAGAACAAGGAGCCAGGAAAATTATATTCTCTACCTACAGAAGACAGAATCAGAAGACATCTCTTAGAAACAGCATAGTAAGAAACCAGGACAGAAACCTTTGTCAACTTGTCTCAAAAAGTCACCACCATTAATGACAGGGTATTTATGTCCTGGCCAGCATAAAGCACAGGATGATTGCCTTAATCACTGTGAACACCTTTGACTTGGCTACTTTGACAATGCAAATTCTTTAATAACTTCCAGTAAGAAGTCCTTTTTTTTTTTTTCCCTTCCTTTTGAGATATTTAACTACACTAATTCCATATCCTTGACTACACAGACATATCATCTAATCCCAACTGATGCTTCAGATATGTGTAATGTTCTGGCTTTATGTTTAGCATGGAATGGTGACAATTCAGGTCTGTAGTAAACATAGTTCCAGTTTCAAGAAGCTCCATTTAGTGGGATTGATTTGGGGCTATAACTCAGGCATATTAGCATGTATCACCAGAGTTCACAGCCACCACACTTTCAGGAACAGAGGTTGATAGGAAGAACAGGAATTTGGCACAGCAAGCCTTACCAGTTCCTGTCTACTTGCCAGCCAGTCAGTGAAGAATACCTTATTCACCTAAAGCAGTGCTGTCTGCATGCAGCTCCATAGGAGCCCCTGTTATCTTCACAAGCCTCATGATGCTACAAAGCTCATCCTCAATTTTACATAAAGGACAGACAGAGCTAGCAGTTTCAATGCCACAGCTAGGTTTTGAGGACTTGGCTTCTGGTGTCAGACTGCCTTGTTCTGCATCTCCTCTTCTAGAATATACAAAATTACAGTGTGTATATATAATGCAAAAGTGCAAAAGATAAGGTACCTCTGTCTCCCTTCTGACGTCCTTCACGCATGACAGAAACAACCAGACGATGGAAACTGTTTAGAAATGATGGTGCTGCTTTCAACAGCACCTGCAAAGACATGAAGCAAACACATCTGAGATTATGTAGTAAAGGGAGCAGAGAGGGTAGAGGTACAGCACCCCATAGTCTGAGGGAAATAAATTTCTGTGAGGAAAATCATATAGCTTATAGAGCTGCCAGGAGCAGATGTCATCCTGCATCCATACAGTATCTAGCACATGAGAATCTTGAAGCAGGACTGCTGTCCTGGCCATATTCAAATATAAATAACAAGTAAACATCCTATTAGAGTTACTTCATTTCTCCAAAGCAGCATTTGATTTAGTACCCTAAGGTCTAGGGAATTTGTTCTTGCTGGCAGAGAACCTGTGTAGCCAAACAGATTCACTGTGTGAAAATAGCCTGTGCACTGCCTTGCTTTCAGAATTTGCCATTTCCTCATCTTCAACCTTCACTCTCAGTGCTCATACAAATGCATGAGGCTCTTTTCCTTTTCCTTCCACCTCTGCCTACATATTCCATGTAGGAATAGCTCTACCCTGTGCAAGTCCTGGCATATCTTCACTTTCCCATGACTGAAGGCTGACAAGAACACCAGGATGGTACAATGTTTGAAGGTCACCAACTGCTCACATGTCTAAGCTCTGTTTTCAAAGGACTGCAGAATCTTGATCCCCAGTGAGAATTACGTTCTGCAGCCTGAGCCATTTCTGCTTCTAGAAGTCAATCATAAAAAAATGAAAAGTTTGATTTTAACCTAGCTTCAGATGTTAATAAGCAATCTGCTGCCAAAGACCAACAATGCAGGCATAAAAAAAAAAGCAGGAGAGCAACTGAAATGATGTGATTTTGAGACTCCCAGCCTTTTAAATTACAAGTGGTACAAAGCACTTTCATACTATAAGGACAAACTATTTCAAAATCACTATTGAACAAAAAAAACCCCTCTCATCACTGGCTTCTGTGTTGGTTCTTTCTACCTTTTCCCCTCCTCCCACTCCCTCAGATGTACCTTTGGATGACACTGCACGATCGAGAAGAGCACTTCATGGACTCCCAGGAAGACACTGCGATACTCTTCAGTCTTCAGATGATCCAGAGGGACCGTTAGAAGAATGCTGAATGCCAATGCCACATGGTGTGGATTCAAGAGAATCCCTTCTCCTTGCCTTAGCAGAGCTGCTACAGTCTCCAGAATAGGGACAACTATGGTGGAAATCAATGACTGGTCCTGACAGGCCTCCTTGGTTTGCATCTACAAGAAGACAGGAAACAGATAAGGAGGAGTGCATTAGCCACCTGTCACTAGTACTCATGCACCAGAGAACCATAATGCTCTGACTTGAGCCCATGGAACTAGACTGGTGCAAGCTGGACTGGCAGGGAGACTCCTGCACTTTAGCCATTTTGGTGCATCTGCATCCCAGGAGAGGATGTGTATGATGCATTTCAAGCAAGCACTGCTGTGAGTCTGGAATTGTACCCACTCCCCAGTCCCCTGAAAACCAGCACCTCTTTGCACCTCCTCACATGAATGCATTGATGCAGTTCTCTCCCTTACAAGCACGCAGACCTACTAAATAAAGGGCAGAAACTGCATGCTCACGATTCCCAGGCACTGCAGAGCCAACACCTGACAAATTCTGGTCTACAGACACCATCCTCATGGAGAAGAAACACCCACATCTTTGGGTTTGTACGCTGTACAAACAAAGGACAGGAAACCTGGGTTTGGTTACTTTCAGTTAAGTTTCCCATTCATAATTCAGTTAATTTATACTATTATTTTTTCAATATGAGCACTTTATGTTTTGCTGCTGTTGGCTTCTGCTGTGACATGTGCCTGACAGTTACCTTCTCCTTTGGACAGAAGGAAGGGCAGGAGGCTCAGACTCTCTTCTCTGCAGCCTAACAAGTTTCTCCCAAGCTCCAGACTACACGGTGCAGTCCCAGAAAATTACTGGCAATCAGAAATGGATGACCTACAACACACTGCACTCACAGGAGGAGATTTAGATTAGATATGAGGCTCTTCTGGAAGATGGCCACTCTAATGGGGATGTGGATGATAGGCAAACTACACCAGAGGTCTCATCATGGTCACATAGGCCTTACAGCCACATAACAACCTCTTCCACAAGGAAGAAGAGAAGAGCTGTAGTTGGAGACTTGCTCCTCCTGTAAGTCTCCTTACAGAGCGCC